CGGCGGCCGGGGGCAGGGCGGCGTGGGGCGGCGCCGTCTCCTTCGCGCCTCCCCTGTCGGCGGCCCCGCGGAGCAGCCGTGGTACAGTCCGAGACGGCCCCCGGCTATAAATAGCGCCAGGCGCATGGCTCTTTGGGAGGCGCTGAGATTCCCGGCCCGGCGGCCGCGGAGAGCGGGTGCCTGTTAGGGACCAGGCTGCCAGCCTCTCTTCTTTGCCTTTTGGGGCTTCTTTTTGTAGTAGCAGCAGGTGCAACTTTTTGTATTTTAGAAACATTGATTTCCATTTTCGTGTGGGTATGTGGGGGCGGGGGTGGGGGGCGTTATCCACCAAGCTGTGCTCTATTAGGGCGCCAAGCGGGCGAAGCGAAGCAGGGATGGCGGGCGGGGCGGCGGCGAAGGCGGCGGCGGAGGTGGAATGGGCGCTTTTTATCTCCCATCTGGCTCCGTTTATTTATTTATTTAGACTAGAAAACGCGAGCCCGCTTGGAGGGAGTCCGCCCAGCGATCCGAGTGCGCATTGATCAGTGTCGAGAGAAAAAAAAGCTACATAAATATATATTATGTGGATAAATCCATAGACAAGAGCTCTCTCGCGCGCGCTCTCTCGCTGTCTGTGTCTGTCTCTTCCTCTCGCTTTTTCCCTCCTCGTATCCCCAACCTGACCGAGCAACCCCAAATCTTCTCCCTCCCGCCGGCCATCGACCGCCACCCGATCCACTTGGGAGGACGGGGCTGGGGAACAGCCGGGCGGCGCGGGGGGAACAGGGAGTAGAGATTCGGGGTCCACCCCCCGCCCCAGCCCGCCCCCGGAGGCGGGAGGTGGGTGTTTCAGTCCCGGACAGCCTCCCCTGCCCCGGAGAGCGGCGGCCGGCGGGAGGAAGGTAGGAGCCGGGCGCCCCGGTCCACTCGCCGCCGGGGAGGGAGGAAGGCGCCGGGCGCAGCGGCCGGTGAGCAAGCGCGGGGGACCGGCTTGATTTCGCCCTCGTCTGTTTTACTGGTTCCAACTGAAATTTTTTTTTTTCTTAATTCATCGTCAAGGAAATAAAGCCCCCGAATCGTTATCCGGGCTGCGGCCGGACCCAGACTCGCGCGGCGTGCGCTGCCCCCGCGGGTTTCGCTGGTGGCACATCCCGCTCCGGAGGTGCGAGGCGGGATTCGCGTCTGCGGGCGACAGCCCAGGGTGCGGCCGGCCCGCCCGGACCCCGCCGGCCTCCCCACCAGGCCCGCTGGGGCGGAAACCTCGGCCGAGTGGGAGACGGAGCGGCGGGCGCGGGGGCCGGCCCCAGCAGCCCCGCCTCCGGGGCCGAGTACTGGCGGTGAACTTGGTTGGGGTGGCAGATTTTCATTCTGATGGCATTTACCTGCACACCTTCCTCTCCCATGTTTGCTTTCCCGGGAGAGCCGCTTCTCGGCTTCAGAAGCCGGGCAAATTAAAATAACGCGCCCGCTCCCGGCGCGGGCTGCGGGGCTTGGGAGCTGGGGCGCCGGGGCGGAGCTGTCGACCTAATCCCGGCCGGGCCCCAGGCTGGCTACTTTTGGGTGTTCGGGGTTTCTCTTTTCTTGCCCACGGATTATATTGCGTTCCTAGACGATATATTTAAAATTTTCTTTAAAGAAACGAGACCCCAGCTGCCTGAAAACCCAGGCCAAGCCCATTGGTACAGCCAGAACGCGGAGCTCTCTAGCGCCGGAGGAGGCCAGAGGCCCCCGAGGTTCGCAGCCCCAGGCCCCGAGCCCGCTCAGGACGCCTCTACCTGAGGATCCGGGCACAAACCAAAGAGGTACAATTCTGAGAACTGTGGAACTTCGTCCTTTCATTTTCGATTCTCCTGCCTTTGCTTGATGGAGGCGTGTGTAAGTACAGTTGATTCGTAACTCGGTTTCCCGGGCTTACGTTATCCAGTATTATATGTTGGTCTAAGAATCGCCCAAGTTGATGGGATGAATAGAAACTCACATATAGTCTCTCTGCCATGTGGCTGTGTGCTTGGTGAGTGCTGTAACAAGGTGGGCATGTCCCTGGTAAACACATGGAGGTTTGTGTGTGTGTGGCTTGGAGGTGTGTATGTGTGTCTTGTCAGGACTATGGGTGCGTGTGTGTGCCTGTGTGGATGCAGTGCGGATGTGTGCACGGACCCCGCTTGTGTGCATGCTCTACACGTTTGTGTGTGTGTGTGTACCTACCAGGCTGAGACCTCCTCCTCCCCACACCCCAGGACACATCAGCAGAGGCTAAAAACTCTCCAAAATATCTCCTCCAACATCGTCTTGTGGTGCTGGTGTTTAGCTCCCAAGATCTAACAGCGGAATGGAATATATTTGGTGCCATCACAGGGGAGTTTCGAATAGTAAATTCCTACATGAGGTCTCTCTTTCTCTCCCTGCCTCCCACCCATCAAAGCAAGGCCATGACAATGGGGAGTGCAGGGAGCCCACTGAGGGCAGCTGGCAGGGGAGGGACCTGCTCCGGGAGGCTTGCTGAGGTTCGCCCTCCTCTTCTTCCCTCTTCACCCTAGTCACCCCCAGGTCCAAGAAAATTATTCACAGATGTTTAATTATTTATATTATATTATTGATAATAATAGCCAATACATAAATAACAGCAGTCCCTTGGCAGGAGTGAGTGGGGAGTGGGGTTGTTAATGAAAGGGGCACGTGGTTATTTCAGATGCCTGCGAAAGGTCCTCCATTCTGTGTAGTGCCAACTGTCTCTCCACACGTGGACTCAAAGCTGTGGACAGCTCCTTCTTCCTTAGGCGAAGCTTCCTCCCCCTCCCCTCTCTCCCACCTGCTGATGGCTTCTTTTGGATTTGGGCTGTCTCCCCTTAGGAGCAGCACATCCCTCACCTCTCAGCTTTCTGGCAGGTGTATGGTGAAGACACCTCCCCTGCCCCTTGCTGGGGCAGAAGCAGCCAGGACACCAGGTCCAGTCGTAACTGAGCTGCCTTGTGTAAACAGCAGCAGGAGCAGCTTCTGCCGAGGCATCGATCTCTTAAAGGTGCAGAACTGTATCTTTTAGGCTCCTACCTCTTCGCCACGACAGAGTGCCAGGGATAAAATAACATAGATAGGTGTCTCAAACTCACGTAATAAAGGAGCAGGACCCCTGAGAAAATAGTATGGAATATGGTGAAGTAGGCTCTTTGGTATCCTCACCCTTGATATTCTAGAAGATTCGAGTTAATTTTTTTTTAACCTTAGACCATCAAAGAGAAATGTAATTAGGGAAAGATGGGGGCAAAGTATTATTCACTGTGACATTTAAGCAGATTTAAAACTTTTTCTGCAAGAACCACTCCACGGCTACAATTATTCCATCCACTGAGAGAGAGAGGAGAAGGCTGAGAAATGAAAGTGAGTGCTGGGAACAATGGCTTTTCATTTTTTCTCTGGGTTTGGGGTTTACATTTTGTTGCTGATTCATCTTTGGGGGTGTCAGGAAGCCCCATGTGGAAGGGTCTTGGGTCAAGTCACCCGGGCCTTGCCATTGCCTCCTGCAACCTCTCTGTGTGCCCAGCTTCCTCTAGCTGAGCCACCCACCCCTGTCTTCCCTCTGGCACCCACTGAACCACATTCCACCGTCCTGGCCATGGCTGCGTGCATCTCAGACTTGCTCTGACTCTCCTGCTTGTGAATCTTCTCTTTCTACCTAGATTGTGAACTTGCTAAGGGCAGGAACCCAGAAATCCTGTCCTCTTCCTCTTCAGTCCCTCTCAACAGTCATGGGCACAAAGTAGAGGCTCAGGATAGAGTATATAGATAGCAGTGGCTAATCTGTCTTGGAGGTGGGGGGTCAACACTGTATTCATTCCTCTGGGCCCTAAGAATGGGGAGCCCCAGGGCCTCAGCCTACATTCTCCAGAAGGAGTTCAGGGGTGGGGATGAGAACATGCAGTTTAGCCCCCACCCATCAGTACAGTCTGCACTGCTCAGCTTGGCAGCATCAGCACTCAGTCATTCTTGCATTCATCCAGCCCTTCTGATCTCCCACCAGAAGCAATGGAGAAAAGACAGGCCTGTGAAGAACTCACTGTATAGTTAGACCAAAGTCATACCAAGTGAAAAGCCCCAGAACAGCAAACGGCAACAGATGGTTAAATGTCTTCCAGGCCTGAGGATTTCCACATACGAGAAAATAGAAAACAACCCAAGTTGCTGCTTGTGCTGATTGGCAATGCGGGTGGGAATCTTGAGGAAAGAGGAGCTCTTGTGACGGCAGGATGTGGGGGGTGCTGGATTGCCAGGGAGCTGGGTGATGACCTGGACTTAGGACAAGGAGGGTAAAAGCTGTGGCTTCTTCGAGGTTATGTTGATACCACACTGAAAACAGCTGCCATCTGCATTGGCTCCCCCAGCAGAGAGACCAGACCTCCAGTTTGAACATCTCTGTGGAGTGACTGCTCTGCCCAGACCTGCAGAGGGCAGTGAGGACAGGCTGGAGGCAGGGAGACCACCTTCCTCTCTGTAGAGCTCATGTGGTGTTTGGGCAGAGAATGACTCAGAGCTGAGTGACCACCCAAGAGCACGATCCAACTGAAGGCCAAGTGAAAGAGCAGGCTGTGTGGGTGATG